GGCACATTCACTTTCCCTTTTCTAGATTTTTATTTTCCTCACCCACTTTTTATATTTTTAATTTGCTCTTTGTATGTTAGTTCTGTAGCCGCTGGGGCCAGCATTGTGATATAGTAGGTAAAGCCACCACTGGGGAGGCCAGTATCGCGTCAAGGTACCAGTTTGTGTCTCAGCTCCTCTACTTACATCTATCTCTATGATAACTGGCCTTAGCAAAGTAGAGGAAAGTGGTCTAATGTTTGGGCCCCTGCCACCAACATGAGAGACTCAGACGAAGCTCGTGACTCTAGCCTGGTCTACTGCTGGCCATTATGGTCATCTGGGGGTAAACAGGCTAATGGAAGATCTTTCTGTTTCTGTGACTTTGCTTTCAAAATACATCAATACATCTTAAAAAGAAAAAAGTTTGGCAATCATCACTGATACATTTTCACCCTGTGGTCAAAAGGATAACCAACTACGAAGATAAAATGGTTTGTGCTGCGTTGTGGTGAGACAGATTGGGCCATCTGTCATGCCAGCATCTGCCACAGGAGTGCTGGTTCAGTCCCGCTGCTTAGCTTCAAAACCATCTCCCACATCCACGCCAGCAGGTGTTGTTAGTTGAGTATGTTTTCTATTAAATAAGGAAACCAGCATGGAAAGTGTAACTTCAATAAACCAATCCATACTGGGGTTTTTTTTTTTTTATGCATTCCATGTGTTTTGATGTTTTTTTTCTTTTCAGTTTTATTTATTCCAAATACTTTCTTTTCTCTTGTCAAATTCAATGCTGGCTCATGGATTACACAGTGGCATCATTTTTCCCAAGAGACTTTTGTGTTTCCTTTTTGTCACACATGTGTTGGTTACTCAGTGGCATGTTTTTTCATGGTGCTATAATTTGTTGTTGTTGTGGTGGTGGTGGTGGTGGTCGTGGTGGTGGCTGTTGTTCTAATTCATACCAGTAGCTGACCTTTTTTCATGGCTTCTCAATTATGGAAATGTATCGTGATGGAGTACTGGTGTCTGCCATATCCAGATGTGGGGGTGTAATGCAACTGCATCCCTGTTTCCAGATGAAAGATGGATTCCCAATGAAGCTATTGGACATGTATAGACAATGGGATTCTGGACATGTGTCAACAACAGGATACTGGACTGTCTGACATTGCTGGTGCAATGTCATTGCTGGTGCACCAGCAATGTCAGGATACATTTAAATAAGAGACTGATGGAATTATGATTCCTTATGAAGGACTACACCATTGTAGTGAGATGGGGAAAATCTGTCAGGGGGTGGGAGTTTTGGGGGGGAATCATAGTCTATATGAAATTGTACCACATAATTCAAACATTCAAAATAAATAAATAAATAGATATGTATACATACATAAAAGGAAAAAGAGATTTTATTTTACTTATTTGAAAGGCAGAGTTACAAGTGGGGAAGAGAATGATCTACCATCTATTGGGTCTCTCCTTAAATGGCCACAGCTGTTGGGTAGGACCGGGCCAAAGCTTGGAGCCAAGTTTCACAAAGTGGGCAAAGGGGCCCAGGCACTTCCACCATCTTCCACTGTTTTCTCAGGTGTGTCAATAGAGAACTAGATTGTAAGTGGAGCAGCTGGGACTCAAATGGGTACCCCTCTAGGATGCTAGTGCTGCATGTGGCAACGTAATCTGTTAAACCACAGAACTGGCCCCCCCAAAAAATACTTTCAAAAAGAACATGAGACAGGGCTGATGTTAAGACATACTTGCTTAAGCCACCACCTGAATTGCCTACATCAACATATGTGTGCCAGTTTATGTCCCAACTGCTCTCAACTTCCTACCCAGCTTCCTATTAATGTGCCTGGAAAAACAGGAAGATGGCCCAAAATCTTGGGGCCCTGCCACCATATGGGAGACGCGGATGAAGCTCCTGGCTTTGCGTGGCCCAGTCCTGGTTCCTGCAGCCATTGTACAAGTGACCCAGTGGATGTGAGATTCTCTCTCTCCCCCCTTTTCTTTCTGTGTGTATGTGTGTGTTAACTGTTTCAAATAAATAAATCCTGACAGAAATAAAGAAGACAGGAGAAACACTATGAGCTAAGAAATATGTTAAAGAAAAATAAAAAAGCAAAAGCAAGTGAAAACCATCAACATGGCGCTAAGACAGCTACAAGAAAACAACGCAAACAAACTACAAAAAACAAAACGTTTCTAGAACCTAGAGGAATGGTCAAGATACTAAACATCCCAGACATGTCAAATAGGCTCAAGGTGAAGTCACTAGCTTGGGACCCATTAAGCACATCAGTGAAGTAAGTTCAGCAGAACGTTAGGAGAAGAGGACAGGTTAGCCTGGCTGGGGAAACCAATGGGAAAACTGAGGCATCAAGAGAATCTTGATTCTTTTAAGAACTGTGCAGGTAAATGAAAAATGAAAGAAAGAAAGAAACAAACAAAAAGTAAAGGTGAGATTATGTAGTGGATTGAGGCCAAAAGAAAAAACAAAAGAGGCCAGAAAGGAATATTTTTATAAATCTTTCAGGATGGAAGAAAATAGAATATAATTCTGTTTGGCAGAGTCAAGGGAAAGGAAGAGACTGGAAATAGGGGGCAAAATATATGAAGCAAAGTTTTAAAAACTGGCCATGGAAGAGATAAAGAGAAAAGGAATATTTACCCTTGGAAAAGAATTGAACCAGTCGTTCTTTAAAACAAAAGGCAGCTAAAGATAAGGAGAACATTCCCACTTGGGGGCAGCTGACACCTCTAAAGGTCGACTGATTTGTAACCTTGCTGAGATTACTAGTTAGAACAGGTGGAGGATGCTACGGATATGTCTGAAGAACTCTGTTTCTGAAATTGATCAGCATAAGTAATTTGTGAAAAGTTTTGTTCCTATGTTTAACATACTTTTATTCCACATAAAATGCTTCTTTATCAGAAAGTGAAAGGTAAGGGGACCTTTTCAAAAATATTTTAGGTCCTCAAATACTGAGAAAAATTTTAGGCAGCAGAAATAGGGAAGAAAGACCCTTTTCATCAAATCCTCAACTTCTTCTTACCTGTAATATAAATTTTTGCACCTCCACAGCTAAGTGTAGAGATGAGGGTTTGGTCCAGCTGCTCACATCCCCATATGGGAATATGTGGATATGAGTCAGAGCTCCAGCTTCCTGCTAATAGGTGCTGGAAGGCAGCAGCTGGCAGGCTCATCCCTGTCACACACATGGGAGATTGGTACGGTGCTGCCAGCTTCAGCCTGGCCCTTCTGGGGCCATCATGACCATCTGAGGACTGAACCAGCAGGTAGAGCTGGCTGTCTACCTCTCTCTTCCTTCTCTCCCCGACTGTCAAAGGAAGGGAGGGAGGGAGGGAGGAAGGGGAGGAGGATAGGAGGAAGGAAAATGGAGTCTTAAAATATGTCTGCACACGAATGAAAATGTTCAATGACACATTCCTTGGAACCTACTCCTGTCATTGACACATGATTGTACAACTCTGTACTGGGAATCTAATTCCCACTTATGAATATTACAGTATTTTAAAGATCTAATAATGTATGACATCATGCTAAACACACAGAGGGTCAGAAAGCACTCCGTTAACAAGGAGCAACAATAATTGTTTTATCTCCTGACAGCTGATCATCTGGTATGCACTGCAGTGTTTTTTTTTGGTACTCTTTCATTCACTGTTAACACTTTAAATGATCATCTCAATTTTACCAACAAGAAAACTTATAAATGAGAAGTCTACCCAATATCCCAACAGCCTGGGGTTTCAGAGCCTTTACTTACCTCCTAAGCTAGAATGCTTATAATGCAAAGAACCTGAGGCTGAAATGAAACGATCTGGCTTCAAGGCCAATTAGCCTCAATTGGTTGGTTGTCCCTGAAGAAACCCTGTTTCCTAATCTTAGTACTCCATCACAATAATAATCTACCATGCAACCCAAACGTGAGCTATGAGAATCAAAGTAATAGAGGCTTTTATAGACACCACTGTCATGCCATTATAGTAGCAAGTTAGCAGGTAAAACACATACTGTATCAAAGCACATTTCCTGAGCCCTGTCAGAATTCCCACACTTCAGGGCAGGAATCTGACTCTGATCCAGCCTCCTGTGAGAGCTAGCTGAAGCTCCTGGGTCCTGGCTTCAGCCTGGCCAGCCCTGGTTAGAACGGGCAGCAGGGGATAAACAAGCATCTGTGTGTTTGCTTCTCTCTCCCCCTTTAAGTAAAAATAAATATTAAAAAAGAGGAAATATTTTTCTTCTGTTATATACACTGCCATGACTGACATGCAGATTTCTGACTACTATAGGTAGTTTCTCTTGCTATATGCTGCTTATTGAAGATAAGGTACTTAATAGGCTCTGCACTTATATTTTTCAGCTATAAAAAGAGAAAACATTGAATCTATAGATGTAGTTTCTAGCAAATTACCAAAACATGTAAATATTAATTTACACATTTAATTATTTACCTATTAAATTATATAAAATATGTTTACATACATATTTACATATATTACTTTTATATATATGCTGTCACACAGAAACAGCAAGAGGTTAGTGGCTGTTGCTTTTAATCATAAAATTGTGAAATAAAGTAGAATGCAAATTAGGCATGTGTGGAGGGTCCTATAAATGAAATAATGCACAGGTTGACAGAAAAAAAACCTTTCCCTCTATCATTTACACTGTTGCACTTTCCTTGGCTTAACACCCAGAACATTTTTTTCTTCCTCATTCCGCTAGTGGCTCTTTCTACCTCCAAGTCTGTGAAAATATGAAAATATGGGCAATCTAAATCTGGTTCTCAAAAATGTATTTTGAAGCACAAATTTTGAATCTACTCTTCAGGTAAAGCTAACAGCTCCGACATGCTATGCATATAAAACTAAGTTTCTAGAATTTGTTTCTTGGACTAAAATTTCTCTTCATTTTCCTTTCTAGAATCCAAGAGAATGTTGATAACCAACACCCATGCACAGTATCTTTGTTGCAATACAGGCATACTGACCTTGAGGTGAGACTGAAGAAAACAGCCAATCCAGCAAGAAAACGTGAAAGAGAAAGTTGGAAAGAGTTAATAAGGAGCACATTCAGAAACATATTAATTACAGATATAGACAAAACATAAAGCACAGGATTACAGAGGGGAAAAGATCACACAGATTCTGCACAGATGCTACAAATGAATAGCTTCAAATCTTCAACCCTCAGCAAGATATTTTCCTATTACACCAGTGCGCCTTGAAGAAAGGTTCCAAAGGAAAAATTTTTATCTAAAATTTATTATTTCCTGAGGCAAGAAACCAATTCCTTAAGCATTAAGGAAAAATGCAAAGAATTAGCCAACAGCTTCTCATTTATACAGAATGATTTCACAATCTAGCTTACTTTTTAGAAACATCCACAGACTCCACTCTAATAGAGTACAAGTTATCCAGAAGCAAAAGCAGAAAAGTACCGAGAGCTTTAGTTTGCCTATGCTATTCTGAACTCTAATTTACTTAGAAGTATTTGAATTAATGGTCTCCAATGTTAAAACATAATTATGTTTTCCCTAGCCACACCAATTAGTTCTTATTTGAAATCTAGCAAAATCTTCAAATGATGGAATCCAAAGGCAATAATGAATACAATTACACAGCTCTGTAAACTCAATTCATTTTTGTTGTTGCTCAGCGGTGGGAGATGGAAGTGGCCACGCTTAATATTCTTTCCTAGCAGAAAAGACCTGATGGTTCATTATTTTCCTTTGTAATAAAAGGCAATGTGCTTGGTCTCTTTTAAAATTAATCCATTTCACTGAAGTTGTTAGCGTTCTCTGAATAGCTCATGAGTCTAGTGCACAGTGCCTTTGGGGTTCTCTTTATGATCTAAATTTTAATTTAAGGATGTTTTATAAAAGGGTATGTTTCTTGAATGCAAGCACCACTACAATTTGCATTTCATTGTTTTCTAACCTTAGCGATTTATTGCAAAAGCTATAAAAAGTCTACAAAAGTGAGGACAAGATTAATTATTCCCAATATGTAAGATGAAAGACAATAGAGAAATCAAATGACTTTCTCATGATCATATAGGACATGTGGCAGTACCAGCATTAGAATGTAAGTTTGTTGACATGTCACTGGGAACACACATCCTTTGTTCTATTAATTTTTTAGAGATCAAAAGCCCTGGGCCTTCAGTACATATAAAACAATGCAAAAAAGATAATTTTCAATGGCATTAAGAGGTCAGTCTTTAACTTCTTCCAATAATCTTTTTTCAATTTTGATTATGATATAAGAAATTAAAATAATTTTACATCAACACTGACACTAGCCAAACTCTTTCAGGCAGAAGGCTTTATATAGGACATGGATAGGGCCCGGCATGGTAGCCTTGTGGCTAAAGTCCTTGTCTTGCATGCAGCAAGATCCCAGGTCCAGTTCCCTGGATGGGAAATCAGTTGAGGATGGCCCAAAACCGTGGACCCTGCACCCACGTGGGAGACCCAGAAGACTATCCTGGCTCCTGGTTTTGCATCAGCTCAGCTCTGGTGACTGTAGCTACTTGCGCATGAGCCAACTGATGAAAGATCTTTCACCTTGTAATTCTGACTTTCCAATTAAAATAAATCTTCAAAAAAAAAAAAAAAGACATGGATAAATCTATGAAGTAAATAGTGAGCTTGTCCAGTAATTTATCTTCTTACCAAGTTATTGCATATGAATCACATTTTATTTTCACCTCAAATGACAGCTCTTGGAAACAAATTTGAGAAGCAAAATTCACATGATATAAGTAAGCAACTTTAGTGAAAAATTAAGGAAGCCATTAAACACCAATTTCTCTAAGATGAATGTTATTAAGAGCTATTTCACAAAGAACTTTGAGAAGATGATCTAATAAAATGGACTCTGTAAGGCTGTGTAATTTACTGTTCTACTAAATGAAATCAGTGAAATTGATCACGGAGGAAAGAGGAACCAAGCGGCTTCCCCTGAAAGCAAGCTGAGACAAGCAGGATCAGACGAAGAACCAGGCCTCCCCAAATGTAATGCTTTAGCATCTTTCCCTTCCGTTTGTTTTCCATTACGTAAAGCACAGACTGTTCTCCGTCAAGCAAGAACACATATAACGGGGTTCCTTACAACCACATCAACAGCCCCAGAGATTTCTCTTCTACTCCAATGAAACAGTATAATCCCTGATACTGTGAAATTTAGATCAAAGACACATAACCAGGAAACAAGTGTGTGGCACAACGGTTCCAGCTGTTACCTGGGACACACCAAATCCTAATTTGATTATCTTGGTTCAAAAACCCCAGCTCCACTTTCAATTCCAGCTTCCTGCCAAAGCTCATGCTGGAGAGCTACAGGTGATAGTTCAAATACTTGAGAGACAGGCACTAGTTTGCAGTTTGGCTTTCGCTTGGTTCAGTCCTGGCTGGTTGGGGTCATCAGGGGAGTTGAGCCTACAGATGGATAATCTAAATCCTTCTCTTCCTGTTTTTCAAATGAATAAAAAATAAAATATTCAAAATGCACACAGCCATTAACTTAAAAGAAAGGAAAACTAGGGGTAGTGTGACAGCTCAACTAGCTAATCCTCTGTCTGCATCCCTTAATGGCACCAGCTCGTGTCCTGGCCTCTCCACTTCCCATCCAGCTCATGTCCTGGCCTCTCCACTTCCCATCCAGCTCGTGTCCTGGAAAAGCAAAGGAGGATGGCCAGGTCCTTGCCCCTCTTCTAATTTCGTTTGCCACAAACGCTTGGAAGATTCCTTGTGTATTTTTGATTGTTTTCATCTTTGCCGTGCACTCTTTTTTCAACATACCTGTGCAGACACACATATCCCTTATGTACTGATATGATGAATATTCCCTTTGTTTTTGTGTTACAGACACACACACACATCTTTACATACTGATATGATGAATACTCCCTTTGTTTTTGTATGTTCCTGAAATCAACAGTAATACTCCATAGATGCTAAAATATGCTCTTGATAGATCAGTGAACTCCCACTAGGTATAATTTAGAGACAGGTATACTGAAAAAAAAAAAAGGTGCAGAGTTTCCAGGCCACTCTAACTTCCCAAAACCAGTGAGTCTTATATTCAGCTGCTTCTTCCTTACCTTTCCAACTCAGCTATCTTCTTATCTTTGTCGTTCTTCTCATTTTCCACTTCCTTCAATATTTCCAAGAGACGGTCAACTTCGGTCTGGGCCTTGCTAGATTCATCTTTGTACCTGGAAATGTCTCTCTCCAGTTGTTGGATGCGATCATTCATCTCTGGACTTGCTCTTGCCTCCAAGGTTGCTTCATGTGCCTACAAAGAGCAGCGTTAATACTTTTACAGATCCACATACAGTAGCGGGATGCAACTTACACCTCAAAAAACTTTTTTATACTCCAATTTAAATAGTGTATTACCAAATACCTAATAACCAGTGTTCAATATTTAAGGTTTTACTTTCAGTTGTCCAAAGGGATTTTTTCCATGACAAGGGCACTGTTACCATTCCAAACTGTGATGAAGCCCAGTTCCTTAATAAAATGACACAGTATTTCAAGATAACTCTCACATTCCACCCTAAATAGTTGAAATCATCTCTCATTCCCTTCTAATATCTAATTTAACACCAACACTATATACTGCATTGTTTAGGGAAAACAATGCATAAAACAATGTTTTGGGGAAAACAGCAAAGAAGTATTATACAGACAAAAGGTAATCAGTAAATATGAAATTAACTAACTGCCCTAGGTTCCAAGTAAAACTAGATTTCTTTAAAAACTACATTCCTGAATAATCACTATTAGGCCACAAATGATCACAAGCTGGAGTTTAGTAAGGTGCACCAACAAGCCATTCAACTGCTACTGATCTCTTTAGGAAAGTCTCAAAAGGCACCACCAGGCATCCCTCCTGTCTCAATGCAGCAGGCATCCAGTGCTAAGACCTAAGTCCCACTACTGCCACATTTGCATGTCCTGCTCCTGTATACCGTATTGCCAAGTGTGCAAACTATGTGGTCCTGCATCTCTAAGAGATCCAGCAGACATCAGAACTAGACTCAGAGATTCAACAGACACTGGGGATTACCTCAGGGGATTTAAAACAACTATGACTGACATGTTCAAGGCTCTAAAAGAAAAGCAGACAATATGAAAGGACAGATGGGTAGGATAAGCACAAAAGTGGAAGCTTGGAGAAAGAATCAAAATGAAACGCTGAAATCAAAACCTGTAAGAGCAATAAAGCACACCCTTGAAGGGCTCACAGTAGATTGCGCATGGCCAAAGACAACGTTGTGAGCTTGAAGAAGTCAACAGAAACTTCCTAATGGGTCTGGAGTGATGGCTCCATTAGCTAATCCTCCCTTTGCAAAGGCCAGGATTCCATCTCGGTGTCAGTTCATGTCCCAGCTGCTCCACTTTCCTTCTAGCTCCCTGCCTGTGGCCTGGAAAGGCAGTGGAGGATGGCCCAATGCCTTGGGACCCTGCACCCATGTGGGAGACCTGGAAGAGCTCCTGGCTCCTGGCTTCGGATCGGCACAGCATCGGCTGTTGCGCTTACTTGGGGAGTGAATCATTGGGTGGAAGATCTTTCTGTCTCTCCTCCTCTCTGTGTATCTGACTTTTCAATAAAAATAAAATAAATCTTTAAAAAAAAATGAAGTCTAAAGCATGAGGCCATATCAGTGAACAACTACAGAAGGATTGTGTTATAAAGCTTCAAATAAATAATAAATAGAGAAAGGTCATAAATGAGGGTTTAGAGGACAAATAATACATTACTCTTGATAGTTACCTCTCAGTAGTATAACCCTAAATATACTTATTAGGTTCATCTTCAAAATACTTATGTATTAAAATGGAAAATAACTCCACAACTCCACGCTTTTCATGAGGAACAAAGATGAACTGGTTATAAATGAAATCCTTAATCTTACAAAACTTTGTTATTCATCCTTGAGTTACTTTAAGACACTAGATATTCTCCCTTCCCTGAGCTTTAACTATGGTTTTATTTTTCATGTTCCCTACATGAAGTTACCATGCTAGTTACACCAAACACATGGGAAGAGAATAAATAAAACCAGCTTGATACCCTTTGCTCGTTACAAATCACATGACTTGAACCCAGATCTTGAAATTGCTCGAAAGTTGAATTTCAATTTTCAGAGTTGACAGCTCACAGGTTGAGTATGAAAAGGCAGAATGGGCGGTTAGCCTCACAGGTGAGATGCCCATGTTCCATGTTAGGGTATCTGCGCTGGCTTTCCAGGGTTGATCCCTGAATCCAGCTCCCTGCCAGTTCAGACTCCAGGAGGCGGCAGGCATGATTCAGGTTACTGAACTGCTGCTGTGACATCTGAATCGCGTTCAAGTGAACCAGCAGATGGGGTGAACTCTGCTTGCCTGCCTCTCAAACAAAAATAAACTTATATGAAAGTGCTCTGAAAACTATAAATTGCTACTAAAAAATACAAGCGAAGACTAAACCAAAGCAACAGTTTATAACTGCACTATGCCTAATATACATCTGCTTTATTAACTCCTTCTATGAACACGAGATTTTAATAGTGTTCTCAAATTTTATCCACAAGGGACTTGCATGTCTTAATTTTCCTCTAAATTGTCCATCTTTAAGAGTTCAGGAATTTTTATGAATAAAACTAGTTTGGGTAAAACAAAAGATAAAAATAAAAAGATAAAATAAAAGATACGAATTTGAATTTTGGGCTGTCAAGTTAGTCCCTATAAATGGCCTAGCATTTTTACCATGTTCTCAATAATAGCAAAGCAAGAGAATGGGGTCCATTTCCTGGAACCTTTTTCAGTTGCGACTCCATTTTCAGGCACTCCTCCCTCTTCTGTTCCAAAGCAATCTCGAGGGTCTTCAGGCGTGAGTCCTTTTTGAGGCCCGAGGAAGCCAAGGAAGAAGCATGCTCCTTCAAATCCAAAAGTGACGCCTGAAGGGAAGGGACACACACCCTGGGTAAATACTGACACTAAACAAGATGGAAACTAGAATGCTTACATGGATTATCATGGAGCCTGATGGTTTTATTCCATTACCCAAGCCTATCATTTTTCTATTTCAAGAACATTCGTGAAACAAAACAATATGAGTTTTGGTTTTCAAGTCATAACTAAAATGAGATTTCCCGAGAAATGCCAGTTGAAAAGAGTTCCACTGATAATAACCATTTTCAGTAAATAAAACTAGGTCAAACTTTGCAAATGCAAATAGTTAACTTTAGTGGCTAATTAATAATTAAACAAATATTTTCTTTTTAGGAAAAATTCTATTAGGACCTAATTCCCATAAATTTTTCTAAAGATACTAGGGGGAAATTTTTCAGAGAAAAGCCCTTTAAGCTCATGCACTCTTAACGTGATCACGTGACTGTTTTAGCTCGCATCAACAGAATTCTCCAAACACAAGATCAAAGTCTAACAAGCCACCAAATAACTGTGATGCACTTTGTTGGAAATAAATTATTTATCTGGCACTTTTCTTATCTTTGGCATAGTATCTCTCCAAATATAACACAGCTTCAGATTTTTCAGGATGTTTAAAAATGCTTAATAAGTAAAAAGCTACTCAATACATACTGTGAAGACCTAAGACTCAAAAAATGAATGGACCAATTTTACTATGCCCCTGTAAAGCTGCCTGAACTATTCCTTAAGAGACTCGAAGAAAGCCTGCTGTTAAGCTTAAGCACACCTTGCATTTTACATTTTACATGCATGTCGTAAATGGCAAAAAGTACAGCCAATGTGACAGCCATGCAAACCACATAATTTCATTTTTGTGATCTCAACCTCTTTCTCTGAGAGATCTCCTTGCAACAGGCTGACTTTTTCTTTCAAGTCTTTAAGATCTTTCTTGTAGGTATCAATTTCCTCTTGCTTTTCCCGCTCGTCTCGGTCCCGCTGTTCCTTTAGGCGTTCAATTGTTCGCTCCTGATGAAAGAGCATAACAACACCTGAGAAAATTCCTTGTCATGTTCATATCATGGCTGCAATTCTGCTTTTAGCTGGAAAAATGTCATGTTTCCACTTTCTGGTCAAAAGAGATTGGTTAAGTTTTAAAAGAAAACACTTTTGGAAGATCCCAACCTTTGCCCATAACAAAACCTGGATGTGTTCCTTTGAATTCCAAAGTTTCTTTCCCTATAGTTTGAACTAGTATTAAATCTTTCTATAGTATTCTTTTGGGACAGCCTCATGTTCATGTCTCAAGTAGCTAAAAACACACACATCCTGAGGACAGTAACTAACAAACATTTTTCCTTATGGACAATGTTTCCTACAAAAGAAGATAGTGAAAAAAAAGAAACCATTATAATTTATTTGTCAATAGATACTTAACTGAAAAGTTGATGTGATGTCAGGATTTTTTCAAAAGTATTATTTTTAAATACATTCAGGGCTCAAGTCCTAACCCTAAAAGGCAGCCTAAAGCATTCCAAGTCTGAAAGATTTACAGAACAATGACCTCATTCCTCTAAACAATTTTCAGTTAGTTGTCCTAAAGCGAGTCTCTAGACTTGTCTCTAGGGTATCAACGCTGGGGAGGGTGGGCCATTTTAGTCAACTGGTCCTGAAAAACTAAGCGTCAAAATGAGAAAATTGGGAAGTATACTATATTAAAAACAAGAATTGGGCAAACTGGGTATTTATAGAGGACTAATTATGCACTGCCTTCTGATGTCATAGGTATTACCACATCTCTGTTTTTTGCTTAAGATGGTAAATGAGGAACATGTGGGTTATTCTTTGGAAGCTTCGGCCACTGTCCTCAACAGTGGAATCCATCTTGCTTGGCAGTGGATGTTTATATTGGCCAAGGACTAAATAGATCTTCTTTTTCATTTACACCATTTATATTAGCCAAATGACAGAAGAGCTCTTTTCCCTCTGCCCAGGGAGGGATCTCATTGTATTCTATACCTAATTTTAGATGAATGAGAAGGCAGAAGTGTGTCTGAGAGTGTCCAGGGCGGTCACTCACCTTCTCAGCGAGCGCCTCCTCCAGTGTTGTCAAGGCAGTGTCTGTGTTGGTGGTGTCAGCCTGCAAGGACTTCACCCGTTCCTTCAAACTGCTCATCTGCTTCTCCTTATCTCTAAGCTGCTCTTGAAGGTTTTCAATCTGAGTGTGCACACACATGGGGGCGGGAAGAGAGAAACATTAATAATACAAAATAAGGTACAACCAAAATCACTTGAAGTTGGAGTCAAGGTTAATCCTATGGGTTTCAGAACCACCAATTCAGTGATGCGATTGGCCAAGGATCTCGCTGTTCTCAAGGAAGGAAATACAACGGCAACAGTGGGAAAACGCAAATCAAAACCACAATGTAGTACCACCTCCACCCTGTCAGAATGGCTAAGATCCAAGATGGAGAGTAACAAATGTGAGCAAAGATGTGGAGAAACGGGCACACTCCCACACTGCTGCTGGGAATGTAAGCACAGCCACTGAGGAACACAGGGTGGAGATTTTTTTAAATAGAAACAGAATTGCCATAGGATTGCCAACAGTCCCATTACTGGGTATATACCCAAGGACACTGGTTCAGAGAGATATCCACACCACTATGTTTATAACAGCACTGTTCATTATACACAAAATATGGAATAAAAAAAGTGTATCCATCAGATAATTGGTAAAGAACACGCTATATATACAATGAAACATCACGAGGAAAATAAGCCAGACACAGAAAGACAAATACACGTTCAAGCTAAAGTTTTGAAAGTAAAATTAAAACAAAAACAAAAACCTATGCGTATCAGTTTGGCCAACTTTGTTTTCTACCTTTTCAAAAAATACTTAGTAAAAGGTTTAATATTATTTTTAATTACTGTATGAGTGAAACTGAGACGTTTTTGATTACTGCTTATAATCTTACTGAACTATAGTCTTTTTCCCTATTAAACTCTTTTAGTGCAGCATGAAGCCTTTGACTGCAATGCAAAATAAACATGTTATCTCAAAGAGAGAGGAACGGAGGGAATGAAAACAAAGAAATATCATTATAATCTTAGAGTTATACCTATGAACTATACTGTTTTACTCCTATTAATATCACATTAACATGGGAAGAGGGGAGAAATTCAACAACAAAAAAAAAGGTTTCAGGGTTACAGTTAAATTTTAAACTCAGAATTTATATACAGAAAAAAGAAAAGGTGCACATGCAGCAATGAACAAACGAACACATGCACACACACACACACACCTCCTAACAAAGAGTGAAGTGAGGAGAGAAGACTCAACACAGAGCTGAGTGGAGACAGAGTATATATAGAGAGCTGCAGGAGGATTACTTCTGAAATGACAAAAAAGGATGCCTTCCTCTCACCCCACCCCAAAAAAGAGGTGGGATGGCAAATTCCACAAGCATTTGGTGAGAAAAATCAGTCGTAAGTACGAAGGAAAAACTGCTTTAAATTCTAGGGTTAAACTAGATTTTCATATCACCCTTTAAGTAAAGCATTTTTAATAACATTTCTTACAGCAGCTGTCCCTTCATGTTCGCTTACAAGCATTCACCTGTTCAAATCATTCACAGGTTGCCCTATTGTGTGCCAGACAGAAGTGATGAAAAGAAAAACAACCTCACTTTTGTAGTGCTTTAATCATTTAGCTGAAGCCAAGCTACATATGTGAACAGACTTGCACATTTCTGGGTTTTTCTTAATGATTTACTTATTTTTATTGGAAAGTTAGATATACAGAGAGGAGGAGAGAGAGAAGACTCAGGGGCTGCTTCCAGGTCTCCCACGTGGGTGCAAGATCCCAAGGCTTTGGGCCATCCTCGACCGCTTTCCCAGGCCACAAGCAGGGAGCTGGATGGGAGCAGGGCCACTGGGTACAACCGGCAGCCATATAGGATCCTGGCATGTGCAAGGCGAGGACTTCAGCCACGAGGCTACCCCGCTGGACCTACACATTTCTATTCTTCCACTCACCAACACATTTCTCATCCTCATGTCCATTCTAATCTCTGACCATATGCAATTCTCTGTTTTGTCCTCAGCCACACAAGCAGACGCTGGTCTCCTGCCTCTTCACCTCACTCTGGATCTTCATGTTTGGATGCTATGAGGTCTGAAGTTGAAAACTGGCTCATTCACAAGCCAATGAATAAAATCTAAGCATGGATTCAAACTATTTAAAAGGATCCTCCTTGACCCTCTATTATTTGAAAGGCATAGAAAGAGACAGCAGGCATGGGCAGAGATCTCAAGCATTAGTTCACTTCTGAAATATCAACCAACATGTCCACAGCAACCAGAAATCCCGAATTCATTTTGGGTCTGCCCTGTGAGGAGTAGGAACTCAAGAGCTTGCGTCATCATTTGCTATCTCCCAGGCTTAGTACTAGCAAGAAACAGAGACTTGGACTGGGGCCTCCAACAAAGGATCAGGTACCACATGTGCATTTAGGCACAGACTAGGGGGTCGAAAAAACATACCTCCCTCCCAAGAATAGGGCAGCCATTACACCTAAAAAATATCCCTTCTCTGACTTAAATGAAAGCTAAGCATCTAAGAGAATGTATTTTATAATCCAATGAATTTTTCTACTATATGCATATTCTGAACTGCTGTGAAAGAAAAAGTATCTACTAATATCCAAATTTTACCTGAGTAAAGCTTTGCAGAGTTTAAAGGAACTGGCACTTATTCTACATATGTGCCCTTAATGTGCTTCTAACTAGGTTTCACATACAGTGCATTCTCATATAGAAGACTTAACAGTAACAAATTCAAGAATGACTTTTACCTGAACTATTTACAGGAAAACATGATATATTTTTCAAAATAACACCTCTAATCATTTTCTTATTCTGTAGATTGGACTGCAGAACAGACCAAAATAAAAGTTACTTTATTTTATAGAGGCCTTCTCATATACTTTTCGTTTGAAGGAAAATTTGACAGAACAAGGGAAGACTAACGTTGAATGCCATGTGACATGGCGAGTTCATTAAGCCTGCATGCCAGCGCCACACTGGCACAGATAGACAGACATATTTTGTTTGGCTTTTTATCAGCAATGCCCAGAGATGAGGAGCTGTAATGATCCAAGGTGGCTGACTGACCTCTAGTCAAGTACCACTGACCACTCTGCCTTCCAGGCCTTCGTCACTGAGGAAGGAGACATTTCCTCTCAGCTAGAGTTCTAAGTATGAGAAATTCCCATCTGGGCTCCAGTTCTGTCCCAACCGCTCCACTTCCCACCCAGCTCCCTCCCTGTGGCCTGGGAAAGCAGCAGAGTACAACTCAAAGCTTTGGGACCCTGCGCCCACGTGGGAGACCTGGAAGAAGCTCCTGACTCCTGACTTTGGATCAGCTCAACTCCAGTCATTGTGGCCACTTGGGGAGTGAACCAATAGATGCAAGATCTTCCTCTCTGTCTCTCCTTCTCTGTAAACCTGACTTTACAACCAAAAATAAATAAATAAATAAATCTTTAGAAAAGGAAAATATTCATTATATACTATGCCTTGAAAAAGATACCAAAATGTACAAAATTATTCCAGTCTGTAGAATTTTTATTCTCTATGCTTTTTCATAGTCTTCCCATATTCAGAGTATACAGATATAGTTTTAAGGATAATGACAAAAACAAAGACTTTTACGATACAATGTAAGAAATCCTAGAGAAAGGAGATTCTTCTGTCATACGCGATAATCAACATGAAGAACCTCACATGTATAAAGGCAAGAAAGCAACTCCTCACTGAACCCATACATTCCACAGGTTTATAGATGTGATTAATCAAATTCAGTTATTAGAAATATTGGGGTTTTTTTTTTTTAATAATGCCAGAGACTGAAAAACAAACAAATTCAAAGAAACCAAGACTTTCAAACCCTGCTTGAACGTCAGGCCAGAAGAAAATAGAGAGACAGGCTTCAATTGTTTAAAATCTGAATCCAAAGTCATCTCACTAATATTTAATTTTGTGAGGCCTGCTCCAGCGGCTTGAAAGATGCTAATTTGTACTAATGTGAGTATTCTCCAGAGGTCTAGCCAAGGTTAATTTCCAAGCAAATTGATCTCCAGAAGTTTGATATTACTGTGCAGAAAGTTTATTAGAGGGTTCTCTTAAGCTCAAAGCCAGCAGAAAGAAATCAAGATTACGCAGAGAAATCTGGCTGCAACGAAGCCTCACAAAAATCTCCAAAATCAGATCATTTTTCTAATCTTTAAAACTAAGACCTCTAGAAATTGCAGAAAGATGAAAACAGATAAAGAACAAAACGTTGTCTGATGCTTGAAGATATTTTGTGGTTGAAGTCGTTATATTAAAAAGAAGGAAGAGCACAAAGCACTGTTTCATCAAAGCTTAATTTAATAACTTCTTCAGGTGGTTAAGCACTTCAGCTTTCCAGCCCCCGTTGCCAGGTACCCAGCCATCTATCCAAATAGCCATTCCTACAGGTAAGAACGTGACATGAAGAAATTCATGTCAAATTAAACTACTTGCCGTGCTTTAAAACTCTGACCACACAAAGCAATGGCTTCCAAATTCTTTCTCCCTTTCTAGATATTTATCTCTGTATTTGTTCTTCTGAAAAATTGTTGCTACAGGGTCTCCTGAGAGACAACTAAGAGAGACCTTTGTCACAAGAGGGATTTGACCCTTCCAGATCAACTTATGCATTTTGCAAGGTTAAAACATATGCTTAGTCAAAATTGAGGTTTCAGCACCCTTAAAGAACTTGCAAGAGTCTGAGAATATTAATACTATCAACTATCAAAAGAGCAGGCCACAAATAAACATGAATTCTCAAATTACTAACAAGGTTATGTAAAAGTCCAAAGCAATGACATTTCAAAAGGGCCCAATCAATAACACAGAAAACTCAAGTGAAAGATACGAACAGAGACTTCTCCAAAGAATATTAAAATGCAGGGCAAGGAATGGGATCCTGGAGGATGCAAGGCAAGGATTTAGCTACTGGGTTACTGTGCCAGGCCCTTAAATAATCTTCTAAATAGCAGTTCTACAGAAAGCAGACAGGCACTTCCATGTCAGGTCACTAACACATAAAAGAGTTTTCATATTTAGTTGTACTTCTCACCTCAGGACAATCTCTGATCCTACCTCTGCTATTAATTCTCTTCCTTT